CCGTGTCAAACTTCGTACATCCAGAACTGGCCGATACGACCGCTCCTTTGTCCCGAGGGTGTCTAGATTGTGGAACAATCTACGGGAGGAAGCTTTTCCCAGTTCTACTAACCTTAGGCAGTTCAAAAATCGTATTAACAAAATTTCTTTGGGATCATCATAGCAGCCGCGGTGTTCCGGCATTTAGGCTTCTGCCTGCGCGGCTGTTTCGATATAAAAAAAAAAAATCAGATACCCCAACAGGATATCTCGACCACCTTATATGAGTGTATAAGAAATCGTGGATCCTCAACACATTATTGAACCAGCTTCTGCAGTCAGTTGACGAATCCAGCGGATAATTTAATCATTTTACTAGTAAGGGACACTGAACATATATGCCAAAAAATTATTAAAATCTGATAAACATACGTAGGCGTTTATCTTTTTTTGCCACTCAGTATATATGGTCATGCGTAAATACTCCATCCATTTGAGAGGCGCGGTTGCCCCACAAACGGTGTGAAATTTGGGGAAGATGAGAGTAAGGGTTAAATTACAGGCCATCTTCCACTAGATGGACAACAAAGATTGACTATTACTATTATACTTCATATTATTTCGTTGTATAAAGTAAGTGCGCTAGCAGATAATGGACCACGGTAGTAGCATACAACAAATATTTTGGAAACAAAAATTAGTGCATCCTTGAAAATTAGTGGTAATACCGTCGAGCGAGTGTCGTATCACAAGAGTATATAATTCGTGTGACATAAAGGCTGGAATCGAACTAAAAATTGATCGGGGCACAAAAGTATTTGCCAGTATGTAAACTTATTTCACATGATCAGATATTAGTATAGAACTGAAGAAGTGAATGACTAAATAACTATGTTCTTTGAGTATGTAGTATGATTGTGAAAGTTGGACTTGCAGCCCAGATCTTGAGAAACGTATCGAGGTATTTGAGAACAAAAGGAATTACTGTAGACGGTCAGGAAATGGGAAACCCAGTACAGTGCAACCTCTTTAATCGGAACACCTTGATTATCTTATATTTAATAGGTAGGTATGTACATATTATTCCCCATTTGTTGGAATGTTAGCAAAAAAACATGTATTCTTTTTGTTACTCACTCTTAATTTTCAAATCCAGTGCCTGGCTGCGAAGTTCTTGGAATAAAGTTATTCGACTATCTGCCGCATTATGTTGAGATTCCGATTTTATAATTACAATTTCTTCATTATCAGAATCATCGCCAATTTCTTGAATTATTTCATCATCTGTACATCTCCTAGTTCATTTTGACCAACAGCCAACTCTTCAATTTGATTATTTGTAAGAGATTCATCCAAATGTTTACTGATTTGAAAATGTTGAAATGCAGTTTGTTCTTTTTCTGCATAATTTGAACGCACTTGCTACCGAGAACAAAGTTTCCGACAATTATTCGCTGCAGATGACGCACCGTTCCGATAAGCGAAGTTCGTACCGATTATGACGTTCGATTGTCTGCGTTCCGATTACTGGATGTTCCTATTAAAGTATGTTCCGTTCGATATATCATAAGAGGGAACGATATGAAAGACTCAGATTGATCTGTAAAGGTTAGAAATAATCTGAAATGGAATGCCAACATCCATTAAGAGAAAGCGTACAAAGAAAACGATAGTGATCAGTGCTAATACGCTTCATATGACATAATTATAAATGCTCAGTCCATCCCTTGTACGTCATTCTCAAAGATGCTTAGGGCTTTTAGGTACTTTTCTCCACATAACCTTTTCACTTTATACAAGGCCTAGAAAAGGCCTAGCCTCGAGTATTGCCATCGGCCTTCTAGCTCTCTTGTACCGCTACACCAACGGGCTTTGCTCCTCAGACCTCTCCTCCATGATGCCGCCGTGCGATGTGCCTGCCAGACAGCCCCACCTGACGTCAGCCGCCCATCCTAACCGTGTCGAACTTCGTACATCCAGAACTGACCGATACGACCGCTCCTTCATATTGGGGGTGTTCACATTGTGGAACAATCTACAAGAGTGATAGTAACCTAAGGCAGTTCAAAAATCGGACTAACTAAGTTTCTTTGGGATCCTCATAACGTCCGCGATGTCCTGGCATTTAGGCTTTTGCCTGCGTGTCGGACCACCAACCACCTTAAGCTATTAAAAAATCTGGTTATACGACCCAGCGATGTTCCACTTACACTAGACGTAAAAGATCAACCCCTCCCCAGAAGGCATTCTGACCAAACTGTTGAATCTTGTTGCCAAAATTACGTAGATTCTGTATTGGCTCCAATGTTTTAGCATTTTTCAATGTTAAGCACGAAACTTTGTTAGTAAATCTTAGGTTAACATTCAACACTAAAAAAAGTAACTGGAATGAAAAAATTGGGACTAGATACCAGGATCTAAACGTTGAGATACATGCCCTTTCGCACCTCTAATGACTATTCTATTTGAACAATTACCAATAAAATGTCTGCTTTGTCATACTTTCATGCTTTTTAGCAATTTTCTGGAACACTAGAATTGTACGAAAATCCACGCACCTTCATACGCTTTCTCCGAAAAAATACGAATTTTATAAAAAACAAAGCAAATTGCATACTTGTTCCTCCTACCTACACCGAATTCGATGGGTACTATAGATTCTCTCTTTATGAGGATACGTTTTCAGGATACTTTAAAAACGATCGTTTACAAAACGTCCGAATTTTTGGCGCATTTCTCAATATAAACCATCCAGCGTGCGGCATATGAGGTTTTGCTGAGATTTGCCCAGTCCTTACAACCCAAGTAAGAATTATCGCTCCTGTTAGTGTTACAAAAAAGATTATACAGTTTTCTTTACTTAGTGTAGGGTAAAAGAACATTGACAAAGCGTTCTTTGAACAGCTATTCAAGCGGAATGGGCGCACCTAAATAGGACGCTTCAGTCACTTAACATGTTGTACAAGGATTGCAGTTATACAACAAAATTATAAATACTCTGGCATTCGGCTAAAGAACCTTTACGTCTACTTCATTGCAACAAAACTATTTTTTGTGTAATATATAGGCGAAGTGAAGAATTTTTTCAATCACATTACATTCATCTTGATTACGGCCATTATGAATTTCATACATAAGTAGCTATATGATAAGCTTCTACACTGTGATATGTGGCTATTGCAGCGCAGCAAATTTTATTGTGATTATCGTTCAAGGTAGTGACGTAACTTCTTCCGGGATCGTGTTTTAATATTGATCAAAAATATGTCTGGATTTTTTAGATGAAAATCTGAACTGTCTGCTTTAAATCTTATACAAATCCTATATTTAACACCAATTTTTATCATTTTTTATCTGTAATTTAGAAGTGAAGCATAATTATTTGTCGATACGCTTGATGTTAGTATTGCAGACCATTGTGTTTCGACTTTTAAAATTCATTTTCCTAAATCGAGTAGATTTGGGAAGATTTTAAGTTTAAAAGTTTGATACAGATTTATTTTATAACTATCTATATTCTGTTAACTGGAGCTTAATCGCCACACACCTTATCGTCAATTGTGGGTTAGTCAGCCGCCTGCTCCTTGGCGTACATATAATTTAAAAATGATGTCACTTAGAGATAAAGCTTTTAGAAAATATAAATGTAATAAAAATACAGCGGCTTACAACTACCATAAGTAGTTAAGAAATTATGTTATTGGTGCGATCAGAAGAGAGAAAGCTGCGTATTTGAGTCATATCCTCATCAAATCAATCAAAAATCAACATAGAACTGACTTTGGAGATTCTGCGCGAAAAAACTGCCACTCAAGTTGAAGAATAGCAACACTGTCAACGCATATTTTAATAGCGCCCCAAATTTGGCTAAAAGTCAACTATCAATTGATATGCGTAGAAATTACGATACACATGTAATTAATGCAAACTATTTCTTTTAGATTCACACTGTGTTCAAATTTCTTCTGACGTGTTCCATCTTGTACTCCAGAGCTTACACAGACCGTTCCGTATTTTTACTGGATACAGTTTTATCAATCAATCAATCAAATTAATAAGCATGTCATCCTCAAGTGATGAGGAATAGAAAATAATGGCAACGACCTGCAGTTTATCGCAGATGAAATTGCCATTGCTCCCATTATTTTGCAAAAGTCACAAGTTCCAAAAATAAAAATCAGAAAGTACGATGCATTGAAGAAGATGTTGAAAAAATACGAATCAACATTCGGTAGGCCATTAGATACTAATTACCATTAGATTGGGAAAGAACGTTGCTTCAAGCTATGGAAGGTGACTGTAATCCTAAAAATTGGGAGGTGCCATTCAGGTTCCTGGTGTTCAAGAAGAAGGAAGTGGACTATCTACCGAGCACAGTGAGCAAACAGTTAGTATTACAGCGTCAGCAATTCAGAAGGCATTGCCACCAAAAAGAAAATAAGCAACAGAGAAATACGAAACTGAGGAAACCAAAGAGTTAACTACAAAAGAACTGCAACGTCTAGTGCTATTACAGCAGTACAACAAGAGTATTATAAAACGAAATTAGAAATGATGCAGCGTCAGAAGCTACCTATAACTTAATATGTTCACAAAAATAAAACTTATTATAACTTATAAATACACTTTAATCAGTAAAACTATTTAGTATAATATCCAAGTTTCTTCTTGTTTGTTGACCTAGTTGGCGGAGAGGAAGTTCGTCATTCTCATGATTTCCTTCATCTTCATCTGGGCCTAGTTCAACTAACTCAAAGTCAGGATTGCCCAAGCTCTTCGCAACATTATGGAGTACAATACCAGTAATAATTATTATCGGCACATTTTCCAACTTTACGCGGCAAACATTCTGTAGGATAGGAAACCGGCGTTTCAGTTGACCGAAACAGCGTTCAATTATAACTCATTCTTGTTTTAAAAGCTTATTATAATTTATGAATGCACCTGCAGTAGGATTTCTGAAGGGAGTCAATACCATAATCGTCATCGCCAAGTAGTACAACATTTGCTTTATTTATTAGTTATGATCTAGTCTTTGAATTTCTCCATATTCTGGAATCATGCACTGATCTAGGCAAACTGACATCAATACTTGTGAACATCTCTCTGGAATCACAAGTGGCTTGCACATTTAAAGGAGGTTTCCCTTTTCGGTTGATATACTCATCTCCATGGCGATTTAGCTTCAGGATTCCTATATGTGTACAATCAATTACACCGATTGCTGTCGGACATTTATACATGCTTTGCCATATCTGCTTGGCCTCCATCAGTTCATGGTTGGTAGTTTTAAACTTGATGCTGTTCACAAGTGTATCCACAGTCCGAGATACCGTTGCTTGACTAACACCAAGTTTCTTACCAATACCTTGTTGATATGCAGGGTCACGGAGATAGCGTACACATATCTGCATTTTATGAATACATGAAAGTGCTCCTCCTCGAGTTTCCTCATTCTCAACTAAAAATCTGTCCGCAAGCCATTGTACATTTGCTTCGTCGAACCGATATAATTTTTTTAAGTCACGACCAAGTGAAGGTAAACGAGGTTTGTACGTTTTAACATCCCTAACATCCACAATTTCCGCCATCATCGTTTGACCACCTTTCGTTACAAAGTTGAGTCTGCTACTGACCACACTCAGAATTTTTGAAGGATACGCTTCCTATGTCAAGAATAAGGTGAATATTATGAATATCCTTTTACTTATGGCACTGCTTTGAAGGATATGCTTATACTCAAAAAGCAAAAGCATTTACTCCAAATTATTATAAATACCATATGGAGGATTTCCTTCAAAATTTGCAAGTACAAGGATATCCTTTGTTTTATGAATACGGCTAAATATTATGACTAGCTTCTAGTCAGGTTTTCGTCCTCATCATAGTACTTCCACTGCTTTAATGGAGATTACGGACTATATTATTAGGGCAACTGATCAAGATAATTGCACTTGTCTTGTTTTACTCGACTTCAGTAAAGCTTTCGACACCGTAGACCACGACACGCTTCTCAAAAAATCGATATATTTCGGTTTTCCTAATAACTCGGTTCTACTTCTTGAGAGCTACTTAAAAATCGCACTCAGAGTACAGTTATAGATGATAAGTACTATTCCTCGTTGATGAAAGTTTCCGGTGTTCCACAAGGTTCGGTCTTGGGTCCACTCCTTTTCAGCTTATACACAAGTGACTTTCATGAATTTTTTAATGTTTCTCAGTTACATCATTATGCCGACGCTACCCAGATGTATATATATATATATATATAATAAATAAAAATAAAAGACTTGATCTGCATGGCACATTTTCAGTTATTATAAATAATGTAGCTTTGCCAATAACCAGTGAAAACAAAAATCTTGGCATATGGCTGGACTCTGATCTACGATATACAAAACATGTGTCAGGCCTCCTATAACGTGTTATTCCAGCAGGAGTGTTATCGAAATTCATAAATGTCAACTATGTGAAGCTTTGATTTTGTCTAGACTGGCTTACTGTGACTGCATATATTTATGGACCTGGCCTTTTTCAAACAGATATTTTACGCATTCAGCGAATCCAAAATTTTTGCATAAGGTTATAGTATAAGTATAATATAGGTAAATGAACGTTTTTGCAACAGTTCTAATTTCATCCTATAAGGTGTTGTATAAGTATGCTAGAATAATGTTTTAGACACCTCACTTTAGAGCAAATATGATGCAGGAAGCAAATTTGCATTTCACGCAACATTAAGCTAGTATTTTGGTGTTCGGGCAACAACAAAAGAGCGCTTTCACGGCTTAACAGTTCCTTTACCAAAAACGTATAGCACCACTTTGCTAGTTGGTACTTACACAAAGCATATAAGTTGTATACCACTCTGTAAAGTTGTATGGCACTTACCATCAAGCAGCTTATGATTTATCATAGCGGTGAAGTAATAATTCGCTACGAAGAGTAATGGCTGTCCTTAAATAAATGACCGACTTTTTACGACGTGCGCCACATCAACAACTTAAATTGGAGACGTAAATTCAGGATATATTCTGGACTTTGAGTGCACCAGGGATATTCCACCATCGACTGAGTAGGGTATTATAGAGACCGTTGGCAGTGTTGCCTTGCTTCTTTCGGTGCTAGTTCTAAGATTTGAATTGTATTCATACTCAGGAACTGTGTAGTATATTGAATGAATAAAAGATCTATTCTCCCGCTGGGTGAACGACGGAGACGGAGTTGCCGTCTTATCAGCGAGTGAGTCGGTCGAGCACACCCGCCGGGAGAAGGTCGTACCGAGATATCTGTGTATCAATGTGTGACTGGAAACGAACGTAAATAATAATATTATTTACACGACACTACAAACTGTTTCCTAAGACATCGCCATACGCCGTTTTTATCATTTTAGGATAATAATAATAATAATAATGCCTTTATTAGCTGCAGTGAGGCGAAGTTTAGCCAGACGGCTACTCTTACACCCAACCCCACAACAGGAAAACAGAATACTTAAACACATAAACAAAATAATAATGTACCAAAAAAATACAATTCATAAGAATGACAACATTGATTGCACGAGACAAATGCAGATAGTATTGCGAGAGTTTTAAATTTGAAACAAAAATAGTAGAAAATAGTCAAACAAAAAAAATCCCATGAACACAAGAAAAACTAAACTAAATGGACTCCAGCAGCTGACTTTTCATTAATTTCTTAAAAGAAGCAACCTGTTTGGATCGATAGCCACTGTTGACTGCATTGTAATGCTTGACAGCATTATAGGTGTAACTTCTTTCAAAGACCGGGGTATTGTGAGGAGACACGTTAAAATTAGCATTAAATCTAAGAGCTCTGGTAACAAAACTACCTCGGTGAACTAATTTGCTAGCGAGGTAAGCTGGTCTGTTAGATAATAGAACTTTATGCGTGAAGACGGTCAAAAGATATAAAAATAACTTATCAATTCGCAACCAGTTGAGTTCTTTGATTTTATCTGAGACGCGACTAAACTTGCGCAATCCAAAAATAAACCTACAACAGCTGTTCTGAATTTTCTGGAGTTTCCTTTTGTGGACGTAGTCTCAACATGGGTAATAAAGAACAAGAGAGTAAGAAATGACAGACAACACAAGACTTTCAGCGAGCTTCTTTCGGGTTTTAAAAGATGTATCGATTAGAATAGAGGAGTTTCAAACGCATATACGTTACTCTAGATAAGAAAGAGACATGCCGATCGAATCTCATATTTAAGTCAAGGGTAACACCGAGATTCTTGGCGTAGTGTCTCATCCAAAATCCTCTGCTTCATTTCACGGTAGGAGTTCTTCGAACAGTACAACATTGCAGTAGTTTTATTAGGATTGATCTTCAAGCAGTGTTTGTTACAGTAATCACCAATGTTAGCCAAATCTAAATTAACTTTAGAAGAAACGTCATCAACCTTTGATGGATCGAAACCAAACACTAACTGAGTATCATCTGCATAAGTTTGTATACTACAGTGGACTAAACAGTCTTGCAGATCGATCGTATAAATCAGATATAGTAAGGGACCTAACACTGAGCCCTGAGGAGCTCCTGAAGGAACTGGCTCAGAGGAGGAAATTTCCTGATTAGTTTTCACTGTTTGTTGACGATTTAGCAAGTATGACTCAAAGAACCTTAGAACTATATCTGACATTCCATAATGAGATAACTTACTCAGTAGTATCTGGTGATTGACCATATCAAAGGCTTTCGAGAAATCTAACAGTACCAAGACGGTGTTGATGTGATTATCTAAATTGTGAATGATGGAATCAGTAAGATGTAATAAAGACGAAGTAGTGCTGTAACCAGATCTGAAACCTGACTGATGTAGAGGAAATAAGTGATTCTGTTCGAAAAACTCCACTAGTTGTGAGTAGACAGCTGTTTCGAGTATTTTTGATCGAAAGCATAATAAGGTAATTGGCCTGAGTTCCGAATATTGTTCTGGATGATTAGTATTAGCTATTGGAATAATAATACCATTTTTCCAACTGGCAGGAAAGTAACCTGTTTCGAGACAGACATTAATAATGTGAGTTATATGGTCTATGGTATCAGGCAAACATAAGCAAACCATATTTAAAGTTAGACCATCAGAGCCACATACCGTAGACTTAATGTGAGAGATTATATTGACGATGTCTTGCTGAGTAAGGAGTTTAAAAGCAAACAGAGGTGCATCCGGTGTATGGCGTCTATCGCTATAAGAGTTAGAGACACTATCAATCAAATTTGGATTAGCTGCAGCTGTCTGGAAAATTGAAAGAAAAAAAGAAAGGATCTCCCTTGAACACAATTTTGCATGGATATTCACAAATTCTTCATGACCTTTTTTGTTGTAATGTACGACGCATTGCGGTCAACTCCCAGTAAAGAGTGAAAATCTAGGTCTGAGAAAATTGAGCTCAAAGTTCTGGAATCTCTCGAACTACATAGACAGTATTATTAACGGCAACAACAATAGCGAAAACCTACATGCAAGGCCCTGTGTGAAGCCTATGGGATCTGATTAAAGGATCAAGGCTGGACACAGTGCTTAAGGCCCACATCGTCAGTCGTTCCTACAATTGTAGGACGCCTTTATGGCCTCCTTAATTGTCATAGTTTTCTACTTTTCTGTGTCAGCGCTCTATTTTGAGGTTATGTCACAAATATCTATTTGCATCACATTGTGCATACTTTTGAGTTATATCATGTTATATCAGCTTGAAATTTCCTACAATTTAGAAAGAAAACGTATCTTCACAATAGGAGAGCGCTGACGCTGACACAGAACAGGTGCAATCTAGAAATTTTTGAAGGAGAGAAAGCAGTATGACAATCAAGGAGGCCATAAAGGCGTCCTACAATTGTAGGAACGACTGGCGATACGGGCCTTAGGAAGTATATACGAGGGTCACAATAGAAAACAGATCCATGATACTGTTCGTCATTTGTTTGTCTGGGTGGTCCGTAGTACCTTTGCCCATTAGTCACTGTCTAATGTACGTTAGTCAAATCTGTCAGTCCTGGTTGTCCAGAAATCAGACAATGTCAAGGAAAAAGAGAAAGAGAAAGAGAAGAAAAAAGGAGAAGAGCAAAGAAAAACAGAAGTGCTTAGTTTAAGAGGGAACACCTAGGCTTTTTGTCTTGGTACATAGCTTAATTTTGAGGTGAACTAAACAAATTTTGACTCGGTTTTGTTAGAGTGTAATTTTAAGTTTACTAAATTTTAAGTTTACTAAAAGTTCGCGCTAATTTTTGATTACAATGCGAGCCGTGGCCTTGAACGCTTACGAACTTGCTCCACTGTGTAGTCCACTGAGTCACGCAACAGAGGGTTGGAAGATCAATTTGGGTCGCAGTGACGTTAAACAACCAAGCCCTTTCTTCTGTCATATTTTCAAAAAAAGGA